CTAATAGGTGCAACTGATAATTGACGGCCACTTCTTAGGGCCTCATGATGCAGAAGGGAGAAGAGGAGGCCTCTCCTTTCTCCTGGAGGCTCTGTGCTGTCTCTCAAGGAGCCTTCTCCCCAAACCTGAACCATCTTTCTCCACATGTCCATAAAACAACAAACTGAAGTGCAGCTGGGCACCGGGAGGCAACGGGCCTGGATAACCAGGGGCAACCAGCGGAAGCAAACACTGCTTCTGTCTGGAGCAAAAGGATTAAAGAAGGTCAAATGCTAAAGAGCAAGAATAACACCACATTGTCAGGGACAGCTGGAAGGGCATACTACAGTGGAAAGGTCAGAGCTAACTGGTGGCAGGGAAAATCTGACTATTTCTCTAACGTTGTAATTATAGCAAGAAGAAGTGTCCAATGATTCTATCACCACTCTTTCTTCTACAAAGTATTTTTAGTTTGACCAAACCCAACTTTTGTTTTGATTTGACTTATTTTGGGATTCTGGCACATTTATATTTCACATCTCAATCTGCATAATTACTTTGAAGAGGGAAATTTAATTCATTCATATCTGATGCCCACAAAAGCTAAGTTTCCATTGTGTTCCATTTTTAAAAGCAGGGGTGTTTTAAAGCATCTATATTTGAGCTAAGAAACCAAAGAGGACCTCAGGTTAGAAGTACTCATAAACATTAAAATATTCATCTTCTATAAACTCTTGGTGAATAATAGTTCTACTGATTTTTCAAATAAAAAGACTCATAGCAATAATGAATATCCCTAAATCTGAAGAACACCAGATTGGGGCCTCAGCCCCACTCTGAGACACGGCACCTGCTGATGTCAGAGTGAGTTCCCCATCTACCCAGACGTCCCCAGTGGTCAGAGAAGGCCCTCTCATAGTCCAGAAAGGGGGGAGAGTGGAGGGGGAAAAAGGGAGGGAAAAAAAGGGAAGGAGAAAAACACATGCACATCAAAATAAAAATAATAAGTCCCCTAAGAAAATGAGCATTTAAACTGCTCATCAGACAGCTTCCTGACAAGGCCACCAGAGTGTATTCACAGGTATTTGCATAAACGCCGCCGGTGAGTTCACCATAGCTGCTCACGCTAATGGGACATAAAGTAGTTCAGTCACTTCTCCCGCGTTCTGTGTCAGGATGATGAGCACTAGCTCTTTGCCTTGTTGCATATTAGATCACTAGATAATAGAGTGTTAGCGCATGCAAGCTGACAGGGTCTCCGCATTGTAGCTTTGTGAGGGCACCACATTTTGCCACAAGGGAAAAAAAAATAGAGAAACTGATGCCACAATTGGCCTTCAACTCAAGTAAACACAACCTGAAACCCAGGAGAACAATGACAATATGAATATTTCCCAAGCCCTTTGAAGACGCCCAACACACAGTCCCAGGAATCTGCCCAAGTGACGGGAAGATGGGATGGGCATGCAAGCCAAAGCTGTACATCACTAGGGGGGCTGGTGACAATTCCACTGAATTGGCCCTGTGCCTATGCTTTTTGAAAACTTGAAACCCTGACAGCAGTTAGGTTCTGAGACTGTCTCTCTCCCCGACTGCACATCTTCCATAAAGCTATTGCTTAAAGAGGCTTAACCTCATTGGCTTAAACTCTCCCATAAATACCCAGGCAAAGAAAATCTCAGTATTTATGAATGAAGAAAAAAGTAGGGTGAGAGCAATTACCATGAGCCACAGCAGGCAAGGAGTCACCCTCTTTGGATCACAGAGGATTCCAGGAAATAAATTTGCCTTTGTTAACACTCCTACTTGAAATACAGGAACAGTTATTTGAGCACAAAGGTCTGTGAGTCTGTGGGTCACACAGGGAAACTGCATGAATGTCAAGCATGGTCTCTATTTCTCTTAAACACAGAAAGATTGGGCCACGAAAGGGAACTTTCCTCCAACTGTCTGACAGGCAGGATATAAATAGAGATGTGCCGAGTAGCTCAAAATAATACAGGTTACCTGTAAATGAGATGGTAAAAAAGCCCAGAATGAGGGAAAATGAAGGCTCCTACAGGTCACCTGAGAGGGGCAAATGCTTGGCAGTCTCACTGTGCGGTAGCTCACTGTGTGCAGGTAGAGGTAGGGGTATGGGAGTTGAAGGACCGGGGGTCAGTGTGAGGGGTATAATTCTGTAAGTCTTAAAAAGGACAATTTCAAGTAGGGTTTTTCAAGGGCGAGATAAAGTATTACCATCCCCCAAATCAACATGAATTAGCATCACCAGTGAAAGAGTCCATGGTCACCTTTGCTGAGTAGATATTTATGTAGCTACCAGCTTTAAGTGTCTACATGAGTGGGTGGTTATGTGTAGTTGGTTGATTCCTTCTACAGGGAAGCAGATTTCCATGTTACTGTCCTTACTAAGAACCTGAAGGAGGTGTCAACCCTTTCATTCTTCTAGAGAGAAGGGGAGTAAGGCTTTGGGGAGAGGGAGGCCCCCTAGCTGAAGGAGGTAGGACATACCCACATCTCCAATGATTACTAACCATTAACAAATAATGAAATGTCATCATTTTCTTGAATAATATGCTAAGGGTCACTTCTTGACTGCTAAACTGGAGCAAAGGAATAATATGTTGTCTTTAAAACTTAGAATAATAGGATATCGCAACTGGAATATTAATATGTACAGCTGCAAGTAAGGATATTTGAGCTGGAAGGAAGCTTAGAAACTGCAAAGTGTTTGCCCATGGCTATATTCCTCCTAAGTGACTCCCCCAACTCCCAAAATTTTTAGGGTTTAAAAATTTTGTAATTAGTTACCAACAATTAAAAATTAGGAGAGTTTTATTTCTTGCCAAAATGGATCATGTGGCCCCACTGGGCTTCCACTCCCCTTGGTGACAACTGCCTGGGGCTGGGGCAGCAGAGCGTGAACTTGCCCTTGTTCCGCAGTCTCCACCCAGCCCACTTCCCCTGTGTGTGTGGCCTGCTCTCAGCCAAGAGACACATCTTTACCCCCTCCCTCATCCTGCAGATCACCACCTCCATTTTGCAAATAAGAAAACTTAGGGTCCCAGAAGGTAAGTTGACTTGTCCAAGGTCACACAAAGGGTAGAGGTAAAACTATAAATTGAATTGAGGTTTCCTGACTCCATTGATAAGACCCTGTCCAACACATCATGTTGCAAAATAATGTCCTTGGCCTCATGCCGAAAAGTGTCCTTTCTAGTTGGTTGTTTTTGTTAGTTTGTGCTGGATTTCTTTGGTGGAGGGATGATTTGCCTGGTGTCATGTGCTCTCTCACCAGCTTCCCCAGGGCAGGAATAAGAGCTGAGTGAGGTCTTGGAGCACAGTTTGAAACTGTGAACCTACGACTAGCACATTTCAAAGTGACAGTCAAGTGTGTCCCCAGGCAGGACAATCATGAACCAGTCACAGTCAAATCAAGACTTCAGCTTTTAAGCCAGTGTTCTCCAAATTGTGCCCAGTGAGTATTTTCCTGTCTTTTCCTTCCTCCTTTTACCTAAACATTTCCAGTCATATAATGCCTTAAGTGACTCCAAAGATATTAAAAAGGCAATATTACTATAAAGTGAGGATCAGAATAATTTTAAGTACAGAAATGGAACCGTGAGTATAATCATGAGCAAGTGTTTCAAATGGCCTCCTGCAAAAAGTAATCTCCATCCATCTCAGCACTAATGAAACCATAAAGAAGCAGCTTTTGAAAGATGATGGTTTAACTTAAAAAGACTGTAAAACTAGATGTGGTGAAGAAGCCCTTCTAAGAGTGTTACATCTAGCTAATTAATAAAAAGTACAGTTTGTGTATACCTTAAGCACAGAAGAAAAAAACAGGCAAAAAAAGAAAAAAAAGATGACAGTGGCATGTTCATTGAACAGGGATGCTGGCAGGAAAGGGAATTTTCTACCTTATGAACTACGTCATGGACTGCTCAAGGCCCCTGGAAAATCAGGCCATCGGATGTTAATTTGTATGGTAGGATTTTAACAAGAACCCTGCTGCCTTAGCAAACTGGAAAGTGAAGTAGGAAAATGAGTTAAGAGTTTAAATTGAAGAGATTGGAGAAAATCTATCGGTATCCAGTAGACTCAGTTACTGTTTCTTGATGGATGGATGAAAGATGGTTGCATTGATGAATGGATGGATGGATGGATAGAAGATGGATAATAGATGGATGGATGGATGGACAGACGGAGGGATGAACGGACGGATGGGAGGACAGACAAATGATGGATGATGCATTGATATTGGATAGATGGCCAGATGGAAGTATGGACTCATACGTTACACAGACATACAGCCCAGAAACATTCATACACTCAATCAGGCCATGTTTCCTTCGAATGGCATTCACTTTTCTTTATTCAAATTTTTATCTGGTTTCTTCCAGTCCTCTCAAAGGCACAACTGATTAGCCATAAAATAAGACAAATTTGATCATTTCTCCCCACTAAAGTTTACCTACAGAAAGCAGGCTCTTCCACCGTGTGGTGTTGAGGGGAGGGGTCTGCATGGGGCAAGGGGGGAACGTTTAGCTCAGGCTTCATATTCAGAAGGTGTCTCAAACCTAGACCTCATATTTTATCTCCAAACGAAGTTAAATATGTAGTCACAGAGATACGCCAACAGAAGTGTAAGGAGAATGAAGTTCCTAATACAAACAAGTGAATTTTACGCTCAAAATGTATCCTGATTTTTGTTAACTCTGCTTTGGCCTTTGTTTGTTAGTCAACTGGAAGCTTAACATAAAGCAGTGAACCAGGTCTCCCTCTGTCTCTCAACAAAAAAGGAAAGATACACCAGCCGCTTCCAGGGTGGAAAACTGTGTAAGAAAGGAAAGGGACTCAAAGATATCGTCCTGTCTCTAACTACTCAGTGTCAATATTCTTCAGCAGGACATTTGACATTTGAAATGGGGTAGAAAATGGGGCGGAGTAGGAAGAAAGAAACCAAATAAATTCACAGTTCAAGTAGCAATGCCAACCAATGAAAATGATTCGCCTACCATGTTCCAGATAAGAGGGCGTACCTTCCGAGGGGTCAAGCCGCCGAGCCCTCCGCCCATGCTTGGAGTTATTATGGACAAACATGTTATCGGAGACCGCCAGGACATGGCCATCCACATTGACTGTCGTAGACACCACGACCTGGAGACGGAAGAGAGAAATGAATGAACATTTTAACGTAAAAGCATGGAGGGTAATAAACTCAAGTTAAATAAATAACAGCTGGGAGCTGAAGAAAATTGCATAGCTATTTCACATAATAACTGGTGCTTATGTTGTACAAGTCTAACAAGAGGAGCTATTGATGAGTGGGTCTTTGGCATGGAACGCTTTTGATGCAGTTTTAAGTAAAATTGCACAGTTTATAGTTATACAGCAGAAGGTACACTGTTAACCATAATTTTAACAAGAGGATCTTTATTAGCATATTTTTTTTACACAAGGGTGGTTGTGTTTCACCTAAATTACCCTTCAGTTTAGACACTGAAGCAGATATCACAGTTGATCATGCAAATAAAAAATCTTTTGAATCTTTAAAATATCCCCCTCTCCCCCCACCCCTAATGTGTCAGGGTTAAGAGGATAGAGAAATGAGGAGGAGAGGCTTCAGTGGGAGCTGGGATGCGGCTGGCCCTCCTGGCTGTCTTTCGGGGGCTGCTGGTACTTTTTTCTTCCCACATTAGTTCAGTTAATCGGACCGCAGCCCCCCTTCGCCACCATCACTGCTGCCGCCACCAAAATATCCCTGCTTAGTAAGGGTCTTAGATTTGTGTTTCAAAGCCAAAAAGAAAAAAAAAGAAAAAAGGAAAAAAAACCCTGGTGGCACTGGTCCAAGGCACAATTCAGGTACCCTGGCCACCTCCAAAACTGACTCTGAACTCAGTTTGCCAGAAGGGACACGGGCAAGGCGTTTTCTCAGAGAATTTTGGCTGAAACAATGAGCAGAAATGACCTACACTTCTCCTTATATTAAATGGGGAAGAGGATTAAAACTGAAACCCACAGAGATATGTTTATTCATATGACCTCTTACAACCAAATATAATAATTGTCTGTAATTGCAGCTTCGGCTCCCACCTCGTGCTTTGACACGGGGAAACAGCAATCAGCCAGCTCCCGTTTAATCCACCTATTATGTTGACTAATTAACTTTGCTCGACAGTTTATTTCTTCCTCCATTATCAGCCCCTGTCAGCCGCAAGCACCCCGCAGCATAGGGGGGACCTCAGGCTCTTTGATTGATCACCGATAGATTGACATGCAGATTAATTTAATTAGAATCACCTCACTTGAGAAATGAAAGACAATGGCAAGAGGGCTAATAGATCTGCTCTCATAATGAGGCGAACCTCCAGAGCCAAGGCTGAGGATTTCTGATTTATTTTGCTCAATTCCCCAGTTGCCTGGAAAGACTCGTGCGTTAATTGTTCTTGGTTTTGAGAGGCATTAGCCTCTGTAGAGGTGGAACGCTGTACAAGGGCTGGCACATCCCAAAGCCCCAGCTTCTGAGGAGGCCTTTGCTCCGAGTGGGCCAGAGCGGGCACGGAATCCTAGAGCCTTGGGCAACACCACAGTTTCGTCACCTGAGTTGGGCAGAGGGGAAAGCTCTGGGCCTTGGCCTGTGCCTGCAAATTGTCAGTCTTGCCTGACAAAGCGGCCCCTTTGTGGCCCCCTACCCTACCAACGTCTGCCAAACTTAGAAGTTCCGGTGCTCCCCACTTTGACCTAAAAGCATCCCCGGAAAATATGGCTGATTTCCTCCTTCCACCATCCCCTCAGCCCCCAAGAGATGGCAAGGAACCGCAGTCCGTGAACACGCTGCTCCTGATAGAATTGTGGGGTTGGGTTGATCTGATTTGGCTGATTTTTTTCGTTTCTTCCAGGCCCTCCCTCCTGGCCACCTGAGGCTCTGCTCCGTACACCAAGTCCCTACGTTCTCTCAGACCCGGAGGCAGACGGAGGACACAGGCCTTTGGTCATCCTGCCTCCCAGGCTGACCGCAGGGAGGGCCTCCAGGGGCCCCCTAAGTCCTCCCTCAGGGTCCTTGCCTTCCCTCCCAGCAGGAGCTGGGCCATCCCTGCTTTTTTTTCCCCCCACTCTATTTTATTAAAACGCAAAGTAAACAACTGAGAGCACTGTCCTTAGTCATTGTGAACCCTCAAATCCCAGCCAGGGTAAGTCATACACAGGAGGAGGTAAGTCAGCAGGCTAAGTGTGCGGAGTGGTTTTTTTCTCTTTCTTCATGACCGACCAACCAGATCTGACACAGCCTGAAGCTTGTGTGTGTGTCTCATCAGGTGTAGGCTACTCTAAGAGGAGGAGGAGGAGGAGAAAATGGTCTGTTCTTTTCTTTTCAAAGAATGTCATGTGTGGTGAGAGTCCATATTGTCTGAGGCAACGGAAGCTCGCTTTTCTTTTGAGTTAGGTAGATGACTTCGTGGGACATCTACAATTATATAACAGGGTTAGCTCTTTCAAAGAAATTTTGATTTACTACGAGACCACAACTGAGTGGTCACTGGAGTCGTTAGCGTAAGAAACTATAAAAGGAATCCAAACGGTAACTGTTTCCAGTGTCAGGAAATACAGAAAGTGGTTATTCTAGATGTCTGTCTTAAGGGTAAAAAAAGCAATAACAATTCATCACCGTGCACCTGGAAGACAAAGCTCTACAGGCTTAAGGCTTAAAATATTCAGTATCATTTAAAGACATTTTCATCTAATTCTTACATTGAACAAAAAATGACAAAAACTGTTAAGGGAAAAAAATTACTACACCCTCTGTGTCTTTTTCTTGGAAAGAGAAGAACCACCAAGACCACATGTGCGATAAAAATCATTTCATTGAGAGACTAATAAAAATTGGAGAAAGATTAACACAGAGACTCCTCATACTTTTAATTTTAAGAAAATAAACACCAAATATATTCCTCAAAAACTCATGACACAGTACATTTTAGCTTCCCTATCCCCAAAATAATCTCTCTCATTCCAATTTGGAAGTGATCAGGATATATTTAAAGAAAATATATGCTCAAATTAATCCACCGAGCAAGTTGTAAATTTTTTTAAAAACCTAACTGCAAAATGCAAAAGGGCACCGAAGTGTCCTTTAAAAAACAGGCCCGTGGTAGGAGGGAAAAGGCCTTCACAGTTTAACGCAAGATTAATGAGGTGCTGACACGTTCATGCAGGCAAAGGGACAGGCGGGCCTGCCAACTCTTCAACCTTCCCAAATTTTGTCAACAAAGCACAGCTTGATTTTGGGACAGATAAACATGGAAAATGATTTTACGTTTGCACTCGACCACCCCTTCCCTCTCTACCTACCTCTTCATTCTCCTGCCCAGAGAGTCAGGAAGGCAATGTGAGGTACAGGTATGTGTTAGAATTTTAGGGTGTCTGTGAAGATTAAATCTTTAGTCTCTAGAATTGCATGGTCCTGTACAGGAACCACACATAGGGTTATTTAAATTTAAACCGTTTAAGTAAAATTTAAGACTCTATTGTTCCTGAGTCTCCATGGCCACATTTCAAGAGGCCAGTAGTCACACATGGCTAGAGCCTACTCTACTGGACAGGGCAGATATAGAACATGTCCATCACCACAGAATGTTCTATTGGTGTACTGCAGTGCTGCTGTAGAGTCATTTTGAAATCAATCGTTCCAATTTATTCACTAGGTTGCCCAAGTTATAGTTCCTGAAATAAATATTAGTTTAAGTGGATATGTTTAGGGTTGTGTACACGTATGATTTCTGGAATCAAGTTTCTATTTGGGGGGAGGGCATAACTTTTCAATGTAGCAATCCAGAGATGTGCTGATGAACACATCCCAGTGTGTTCCACGGACTCTTCCATCTGGTACAACCCTCCAGGTGAAGGTATTCAGTGTGAGGGAATAAAAAGGGCAGAAGAGAAGTCTGCAGCTACCCCTAGACTTTGGGGGTTTTACACAGCCATTTTCGATTTCCTGGTGCATTTCCTGGTGCATTCCTCCCCTGCTATGTCCTGGATCTAGATATTCTTAAAGGTTATTACTTTTACTATTTACCCTCCTCTGTTTAGAATTGGGGGAAAAAAGCAACACAAAATTTTTGATTCTTGATTCCCAAGTTTTCCTGGTTGATGTGACTTTGACCAGGCTAACTTAAGTCTCCCTAGGCCCCAGGGTCCCTGAGCCTCAAACGGAAGTACTAATACACCTAACTCATATGGTTACGGTGAGGCTGACATTATGGAAAATGCCTAGAGTTGTTCCTGGTTCACACTGAGCACCCAAGGAACATTACAAACAGCACTTGCATAGCTGTTGCTGGTAAGATGTTGGTGATGCTCAACAAGAAGTTCTAGAGGATGTCCTGGACTGATAACCTGACGCCTCCTGATTGTCATAAATAGGACCCAGCAGAAACTACTATTTTAAATAAGAAGATACATAAATTATTGCTTCTATGCTCACTGCTTCATCAGCCTAACAATGAAATTATTTTAAAGACCTTTGTGCTCGCAACACATAATTGTGTAATTCAGGCCTCTTGTGAATTGTCAATTTCACTGATTTTTGTAATTGTGCTTTCTAGAACCCATCCACATCTTAGCCTTTTATATTCCAGGCTTGAAACTCAATGAACTCTTACTGCTGTGAAAACGGCCTGTAAATCAGACATCTCACCGAGTCAGTCTAGTGTTCCCAACGTCCCCCAGGAAGGAGGGTTCCCTGGGAGTTTTGTTGCTGGCTGGCATTTCCCCACTGTCGTTCCTCAGCCTGGCCCTCTCCCCTCACATCAGGAGACTGCATAGGTCCCAACTGTATCATCTGAGATCCAGGAGCCATGATCTCTGTCTCATGAGCCGATTTTCAAAGAGACAGACGCAGCCGCTCTCAGTCATGGGTGGAGGGTCGCGTTAACGAAAGCAGCGGCTCGTGGGGGAGAAAGGGCCTGGCTGAAACCACCAGGAAGAGGTGAGATCGGGATCTCCAAATATCTCCACAGCAAACATGGAACAGGGGAGAGGCCAGACCATAAAAATATCTTTAATGTGTAAGTGGAGGGTATACTGATAGTAAGTACTCCCTCCAAAAAATAATCACTTAATTCTAAATGACTTTTAAAAAATAATATATTTTGGCTTTCAAT